AAAAAAAAAAAAAAAAAAAAAGTACTATCCATCCATTCATATCTATTCCTTTTGAAACAAGAGAGATAAATGACTATGGGTTGATTCCAAATACCGTATAATGATTGGACATTCGTAGTGTAAGAACTGCTATAGTTTCACTGGTAATATGCTGGGAAAGCTTGACTTAAGCATTAGAACTTAAAACGCTAATCAGATGACATTTTATCAGTGGCAAGTAGTAAAGGATAAGCACAGGGAGCATGCTGCTATAAGTATATCATTTAATACTGTATACTCCCACAACCTGGAATGTGATAGATAAAATTGCGAAAGTTGACAAAGGGAGAAAAGCAATCAAAGTTACATAGTATTGATATTATTAGCTCTGAGAAATAGATATTTTTGGTAAACCACCAATTTATTGACATGCTGTGTACAAGAAAGCATAGGTTTGATTTAATTTGTTAAGTCTGCTTAATGCTTTACAGCCAAGTACAATAGTTGAGATTCAAAACAACAATTGGTTTACAAATTGCTAACAAATTTGTGCTGAAAACTTTTAAGGTGCGCAGCATACTACTGATGCTATGAAGGTGTATATTTCTGGGGATATTACTGTCGCAAATCTAATTGGTTGATAAAATAAAAAGTAAAAGCCTAAGCAGACTTGGTTCAATTGTACACAACCTCCATTATTATTATTACGTACCGCAAAGAAACAGTTAGTCCAGCCTCGTAGGGTCATAGGCAAAACATTGTCCAATGTATCTACATCTTTCGTCAAACGGTTAAGAATTCGGCCAACGGGAGTAACATCAAAGAATGATAAAGGGATACGCATCACATTGAAAAGTATATGGTAGTGGAGTATTTTAGCAGCACTTAATGTTCCAACATATGTTGCAAGTGATGCTAGGAACACTGTCAAAACTGGAAAGCATTCCAATACACCAATAAACAACCATAAATTGATAAGGAGAAAACAAACTCAAGGAACATTCAAACAAAACAAAACAAAACCAAAATAATGCAGTACAAGGACAAAACCAAACAAAAACCAAAAGGACAAAACATGTCAAAAGCCGCATTAGACGGGAAACTGGTGAACTGCTCAATGATGCACATGAGGCTTCGTCTGTCTCTACAAAAGCTGGATAAAGTGTATAGAGTTAACAGTGGTAAATATTGAAGTAGGTATAGTAAGTAAAAATACTCTAAAGCAAATGTAATTTACGTAAGTGCCACAACATGCTTTAATGCGTTTAAGAAAAGGTTAAAAAAATAAATAAAATCATGCAAAATAAAATTGATAGAAAAAAATTGGCACACTGAATTCCAAATAGTACTCCAATTTACCGAGAAGAGACAGTTAATCCAAGCACGTATTGAAACAGGTATTGAATTATCAATGACATCAACATCTTTTCCAAATCTGTTGATAATTCTACCAACAGGAGTAGTATCAAAGAAACTCATAGAGCATTTAAGGATGTTTTGTAGTAATTGAATATGAAGAGAAGACGCAGCACGGAGTGTGCCCAAAGCAAGAGTCACAACACTGAACGTAACCACAAATGCTGCAAGAGACAGGGAAATCAGTTAAACACAGTCCCACACACAGAAAAGCTTGAGAATCACTTAAGACACCTTCTAGCAATAGGGCTGAACACACCTGCAGAAATTACAAAAACAAAGCTTACTGCATGTTGGAAATTCCAAACAGCTGAGGTACTGTTTGAAATTTCTAAAATACATTTCCTTCACAATGGCAACAGGATAACAGATATAACCCGAAAAAAAGAGAGACTGTTGTTCCTCAATTTAGTTACTATACCATAAACAACTGGATGAGAAAGCCTCGTAAAATTTGGGGCAACACATTGTCAATGGTATCAATGTCCTTCGAAAATCTGTTTAAAGTGCGTCCAACAGGAGTCACATCGAAAAAGGACATGGGGCATTGTAATAAATGGTGAAACATGCCAGTGTGAAGTTGAACAGATGAACCAATACTGCCCAGAGCAAAGGTAATAGTAGCACCCATGAAAAGAAGCGCTGTGAATTTTACAGAAAAATAGAACAAATCAAATATTTGTGAATTTTGATAATTAACTATTCTGCAGCACCTTGTGGAACAAAAATTATTATTCACATAAAGGACAAGATAAAAAAATGGAGCATATATAATTAACCTGAAAGAGAGAAAAATAGATTGATACATGTCTGGTTCCAACCACAAAAAATTTACATGACAAAGATGGACTTATTCCTGCAAAATAGCACTAATACTGAGAAATATTTATTAACACATAGATTAAACAAGACATAAAAGGTTCTTACCTTGGCCAAACCCTAAAGCTCCATAAACACCTAAGTACATATCACGAGTACTAGTGTAATCTGACCCATTTAGATTGGTGTAATTCTGAGCAGACCACTTTGACAACCAAACATTTGAGCCAATAGAAAATCCCTAAAATAAAGTCAAAATCGAAGTGAAAAACAGTGGAATATCTCAGATAATACAAACATTTCAAGGTTAATTTATTTGTGTACTCACTTGGAAAATCATATTCAAAACAATAGTAGCAACTGACAAAAAAACTCCAATGCTGCTCAAATAATGGGCATACACTCTCCATTTAACCTGTTTAGAAAAATTAGTGAACACATGTTTGAGTGTGTAATTTGCAATTAACAAAATTGTCTTACAAAGAATGACAAATGCACTTACACTTCCTGTTTCTGCCTTCTCAGCTTCGATTAGTTTTTCTCCTTTAGCAAGGTCTTGTTTGGGTGGGGTTGGTTCTTTCTGCTCACTACTGTGTCTTCGACGAAGGCCCTCACTGGATCCTGATCCTCCCCTATTGAGAATAATGCAAAATAAGAGGGATTCTTTATAGTTGCAGTTCAAATTAATAGATACGTTCCCACATCAAATATCACACCTCTTTAAAGATCCTGTGAGAGAGGTTCGCTCAGCAATAGAACCGGTATCACTCTGGCTCTCGGACACTCTCGCCTTCCGTCGGTGTAGTTCTTTCTGGAGTTCTTCTGCACCAAGAGTTCCTTCAAGCTGGGCAATCATTTCTTCTGCATCTGCATCACCCTCATTAGATACTTCCTGCAAATGGTGCAGTAAAAATTCTGCGAATGCTCCCTTCTTTTCCATAAGTTCTTTGAAAGTGCCAGTTTCAGAAACTTCACCGTCCTTTAAGACAACAATTAAGTCAACCTCTCGCAAAAAGGTAATGCCATGTGTAACTAAGACTCTGGTCTGTGAAAAGAAAGGTAGACATTATGAAGTACACAAGATTTAGAGGGCTCAAATACAATCACATTTGTCATAAAAGTATTATTACCTTCTTCTTCAAAAGTCCTTGAGGTCCTATAACATTATCAAATATATGCTTTCCAACATGGCTGTCAACTGCACTCAGAGGGTCATCAAGCAGATAAACTTCAGCATCATTGTACACAGCTCTTGCCAAGGATACACGTTGTTTTTGCCCACCACTTAAGTTGATACCCTAAAGATAGATATAAAATGTGTTGAGTCCCAGCATTTGTGAAAAGAAAAAAGGAACTTGACAGATATGACTTTAAAAACTCAAAGAAAAGTTAAGTCTGTGAGAGAAATTACTTACTTTCTCACCAATTTCTGTCTGATCACCTCCAGGCAGCATGTCAAAATCTGACTTGAGAGCACAAGCATCAACAACTTTGACATAGCGACTGTTATCAGCAGATTTTCCAAAAAGGATGTTGTTTTTCAATGTAGCATTTTGAATCCATGCTTGTTGAGGAACATATGCCAAAGATCCCTTCAAAAACCAGAAAAAATCTTTATTGACCACATCCTACATGTACTACTACAACAGAACTTTATAAAAAACGTATTAATTGCCCTACCTTTGCATTGACTTGACCTGAAATTTTGTCCATTTCTCCAAGAAGAGCAGATAAAAGTGAGCTTTTCCCTGAACCAACACTTCCAACCACTGCAACAAGGCTCCCTTCGTTTACTTTGAAATTGATGTTCTTTAGGGTAGGGGGTTCATCTGGGCCCCAAGCAAAAGTGCCACTTTCAATATTAAGAGGAGCACCTATGGAAAATATCAAAACATAGAGAATATTAAAAGATATTAAAATTGAGTTGCTCTAACAACTAATAAAGTAGAAGACAACAAACAGTGGTAGTCTCTGAAAAGAAAATTTTATCTTACCTTCTTTAGTATCATGAGACACATTAGAAGGATCCAAATCCTCAGAATTCATGTATTTGTTGATTCTCTTGATGGACACAGCCGCCTGATCCACACAAAGAAGGATTATTAAAAGAAAAATTATTGATAGATATAGTAACTACATAATATGTACTATTTGAGTAATGAAATAAGATCAAATTGCGAGGTTAATAATATGAGAAAAGCAACGTGAGTGTATCATCCTCGTCACCTCAGATCAATTCCCTCCCCTCTCAACCAAGACCATTTCCCTTTGGCATGTCTGTTGCTTTAAAAAAATAAGGAAATAGGCGAAAAATATGGATCAAGCTGAGTATTAAAAACCACTTCCATTAACATCATAAAAGCAATTCAAGAACTTTTGTGCATGCTACCGTCACCAATTTACATTAGAACTGAAGGATGTATAAAAGTAAAGTTACCCTTGTGTAAATGGTCCAATACAATAGAAGGTAGTTTTATAATTTTACTAGACTTTGATTGTGATCAAACCCCAACGAATGCAACATCCTATTTTCTGGAGGGTCAGTTACTGAGTGTCACCAGTTTTAATTTTTAAATCTCATATTGAGTTAAGTGGGAAGTACATTATCTGCAAAAACTACCTTACCTGAACTAGATTTGATATCATCATAGGAAGCATTGATAGTGGGAACCGCAATATATTGAAAAGTGAAAGTGATACAAATGCTTTTTCTGAGTCCAAAACGTTCTTCTCATCGACTAGGACAAATGTGGCGAAGGACACAAGAGAAACCTAAATGACAAAGCAGATATAAAGAGAGGTTTATAAACATATTCATAAACCAAGCCATAGCAGAGTTCGCACAAGGTGGCACAAGACAGCAGAGCATAACCATGGCTGACACCCTGTCCTAGGGCAGTGTCTATGCAGACCTTCGCACCAAAAGCTGAGGAATATCAGGCTGCAGTTTCCTAGCCGACTAGAATATCTTACAGCACTCCGATGTCAACAGCTTGTTTTCATAACATAAAAAAAAGCTACAGGTTTATTTTTTTCATCTATCATATCTATGCACATACAATGTACGCACATCATGGTATTTTGTATTAATTCCATTTTACCACCATTACCAGCAACCACCAGCAACCACCAGCACTGCTAGAAAAGAGAACCATCACCCAGCAAAATGACAAAGTATTCGTATTCAATTCATCAATTTTTTTATTTTTTATTTTTTTTTTTTGGGGGGGGGATCTTTACCAAGACAAAATTTCCAAAACTCCGGTTATGGGTATGGGGCCATTGCAACATAAAGTACATATTGTAGCTCGCTTTAGAAGGGTTTCGCTCTAATAATAGAGATTTTTGAAAGTTATAGAAACAAAAGAAATCTTAAGTAAGAATAACAATGGGTAGAAGATTTCTTTGGATTTTTTTAATGCAGTAATGTTGAGTGAGACTAAATGAGGAATTCAAATGCAAATCTCCCACATGCAGCTTGAGAAGTCTGGTGAGTAAAAGCATTGAGTATTGGTTGCTGACACACCAACAGTTTTTAAATCTCACCTGGGCTGTAAATACTATAATGAGAGGTAGCAGACCTAAAGGTACTCGCATGATTTCAAAGAGAGTGATGGACACAAACACCTTATCAGGCGTGAGTTCATGGCTTTCATCTACCATTACGTAGCATGTGAAGGTAAGCATTGAGACCTAATACATGAACATTTAGAAACCAAATTGCTGGGACATACTTAGGACGAAACAAAAAATTAGCAGTTTACTGAGGCAAATAAAGGAGATATGGTCCATCAGCAAATCTAAAGAAAATAAAAATAAATGAAAAACAGAAGATTCTGCAATCTGCATCTATGAATCGGAAAAAACTACAAAAGCAAATGCAATAAAAAATATAACCAGGCAAAACAAAGTTGATAATTTCACCATTATTAGCTTTTAAAAATATGGGTCTAAAAAATAGCTCAATTACCGTTGTATTTGAAACATTAGAAGTTTTGTTTCTAAAAGAGGAACAAAAATGACTTTTAAATATATTTTTTTCTAACTAGTATGATGACTCAGAAGGAATTTCTCTAAAGAGTTAAAGTAAAAAGTGAGCAAGGTTGACTTGCACTGCTACTGCTATTCACATATACTGGTAGGTGGTATACTAGTCTCAGAAACATTGAGTATGAAATCTACAATCCTTGTTTTGCCAAGATATTTCATGTGAAACAGCCTCTGGAAAATTCAGAATACAACAACAATTTTAAGAAATTCAAATTTTCATGCAACTAAGAAAGATAAGAAAAAATATGGAGGTTAAAACGCTTGAGAGTACTGAAAACACAGTCAAACATAAACCAGTCAATATACTTAAAATGCAGCTCCTGAAAATCGTGAATGATCAACATGGTTACAAATGGATAGAGGGATTAAAATTACAAAATTCAGGATACAAAAACAAACTTGATTAACATTATACAGCTTGAAAGACTCACCAGGAATGGAGCACATGCCCAAATAAAGGCTGTGCCAGCATTGAGATAGGCAGCTTGTTTTAAAACCTTAATTTCTTTATCACGGATCTTCAGAATTTTATCCTCAAATGATGGTTCCCAAGCATACAGTTTAAGAACTTTCATACCACTGAGGATCTAAAGAGAAGAAAAACCAAGAAAAAGAGAATTAATTTGTTCCAATAAAAGCAATAAAAAAACTGCAATAAAAGCAATTTCAACTACAATAAGTATGTACCTCATTCATTAGTTTCACTCGTTCATCTTTATACTTCATCTGAGTTATTTGCAAGTTTTTCACCTTGCTAGCAATAACACCATTTACTGGGATAAGAATGATCATGACAGCCAAACCCGCCAACACCGATGGTCCTAAAGAGTAAATGAGTCAATAAGTGAATGTTGTTTGATAGTTAGAAACAAGAGAAATGACATTTGACACTTACCTAAAGTATTCCAAAGGAAATACAAGGCTAAAGCAATTTGCAATGGAGCAGACCAGATCATATTCAGATATGCAGTGAGATCAATAAAACGCTGAGCATCAACAGACATTAGATTGACAATTTCCCCAACTGTAGACTCTTTCCGAGCACTGTTAGACATTCGTAAAGCCTAAAAAGCAAACACATTTTTTTCAGAAATTGAAAGTAACAGGTGGTAAGGATATGCAGCTTGAAGATTAATTGACTCCTCACCTTTCGATAAATAGCAGCTACTAAAGCTGTTCTAATTCGCATACCAACCAAAAACATACGATGAAAGTATTGAGCAAGGAACAAGGTCTGAATCATGGCAGTGAGTAACAGTACAATAGCATACAGCAAACCTTTCCAAAGGGGCTCATCATGTGCAACAAATGAAATGAGTAATCTGAAAGACAAAAGTGAAAACACTGAGTAACAAATAAACAATATAAACTGCTACTGCTATTGGGTCAACCTGCAGTAACTTGAAAAGATTGAATAAAGTCAGCAAAAATACATACTTCAAGATCTGAGGACTGACAAATGTTAAGAGATCAACAATAAGTTTTAGGACAGCTCCAAACACAAATGTTGGCCCAAATGCTTTGCAGAGTGCTGGTAACACAGATGCCTGTTTAAGTGGCTTTTTGGGGCCACCTGTCAGATCCACGCTTCCTGAAGACTTTCTAAATGACGCCTTTGCAGCTCCCGGTTGAGTGCTGGAAAGATATTACACCATTTTCAAAATTCATTTCAAGAAATTAAAGAATAAAATCACTCAAGGGAATGTTTAGTACTCATTTTTGTAAAGAACTTCTCTTTACAGTTAGCTTACCCAGTTGTTTTTTGAACAGTTTCTTCCCAAAACTTTGTAAATAGAGGTACAACCTCTTCAGCAGCATCTTCAGGTTTCATGGCCCATAGATCTTTTGTTTCAAGTGGGTTGCGGAACCCTTTCCAAGCAAAGGGATCAAACCAGAGAAAGAAAACCTTACTGAAAAATGATGCATTTAACTCTGGGCACATATTCTGAAAAACAGGAGGGAATTGATTAGTACTAAGAATTAACAATATCCTCTTCAGTCTAGATGAAAAGAGACCATTACCTCTGTCTTGCGGTACTGCAAGTGTCTTGGTTCAGCATCCGCGAAACAGTTCAATACAAGTATTCCAAGTACCAATGGCAAATAGATCATAGAGCTAATGAAAGGAAACTGCTTTTGTTCAGAAGCATCACGCTGAAACACCAAACATAACACACAGCAAATATTAGTAGATAGTATTATAAACGTAATATCAAATAGACCAAGACACAGTACAGAACTCACCAATTCTAATTCCTCCCTCAGTTCAGTTCGGTATTGAGGAATACCAAAAAGGAAGAGAAACAGCCAAAACAGAGTGAGGAGACCTGAACTACAAATACCATGCTTGCGATTGTAAGCTAGAAGCACACCGGCTAGGAACTACATTGGAAAGGAAACCAAAAAAAAAAGTGAAAATATATCCAATACAGTGTTAGATGCCTTGAGAGCACAGATAGATGCCTGATCACAACTTACAAAAGTAGCTATCTTTATAAGGGGAGTGTAGTAGTCCACAGAATAAACCTGTAGACCATCTCCGTTACGATACGCAGCATTCCCCATGTCTGCTACTGAGAGAGCAACCAAAAGTCCAGTGAATATCTGTAACATGAGAAAATAAGATAGAACAATTTGATGTAACATAAAATTTATAACGAAAATTAATAGTCAGTATTTTGATCATTTATAAACACAATAAGCTTACCAATTTGGAAATATTTAGCCAATTCCATGGTATATCTCTATTCCTGCTCTTAGCAATATAATAGGCCTCTAAGGGAGCAAAACACCAAAGAAAAACACAGGGTGCCCAAACTAACGCTGTCTTCTCAAAACATATTGTGAAATCAGGATCATCTGTTTCCCACGTCCTGGACGAATTCTGAAAGCAGACAAATTGAATTGACAGGATATTACTAAATATGATTTGATGAACCAATATACTGTTTACAGAATCTCAAAATATATAATAAGAGTAATGCTGGATTTAGTCTCGTGAGGCGAGGCCCGTAATTCTGTCCTCACCTCAGCTGAGACACGGGCTTCAAAGATTTTGAAGACTGTGATTGGCTATCCAAGCTTGGCAAGCCAATCAGAGCCCTCGAAATCTGTGAGGCCCGTGCTTCAGCTGAGGTGAGGACAGAACTACGGGCCTCGCCTCACGAGACTAAATCCAGCATTAGTGTTAAAAATATTGGGCAAAACCAAAGAATCATTAAAAAGAAGTTGGGGGATGTCATAGGAAAAATAAAAAAGCCGACATTCCCAGTAGCGCCAAAACATTGGATGGACTTCAATACAGGTACAAATCGGCACTACATGTGACAAATGGATTTAATGTTGCATAACGCACACATTAAATGTACTGGTATTGCTGCTAGATGTGTCACATCTAGTGCATATTTCCAGGCGCATTGAAGCACACTGAAGCGCATGGATGTGCATTGGATTGCATTGCTACTATAAATGTAAAATCATGGTAGGGGATCAGATCAAACACTGATCTTAATTAATGGTGATGTGTTACTAGATGAGAACAGGGTGAAGACTACTGTCTTGATCTAGGTCTTGATTCAATGACGATTACAAAAGTTAACAAAAAGAGGCAAACAATAACATTCCAATTAAAAGAACTTAGTATCCTACAATATCGATTTAAGGACATTTCAAGTTATGACCTTCAGTAGTGCAACAAATAACGCACATTTCATGTAGTAGCCAATTCGGACCAGAAAGCAGTTTCACGTCGAGTGCACACCAATTTAAACACTAAAATGCGCGCAGTATAGGGCATATTACAGAAAAATGAGACTGGAATGAAACTCATAGATGATTCTTAAGTCGAAATACGAACATTACAGTCCACCAAATGGGTAAGTTACGCAAATACACGAAATTTCTTACCCAGAACGGGGAGCCGCAAAAGGCATCCATGCCCTCGTACGCCATCTTCCGCACTGCGACGATGCTGCTCTCTGCAGGTGGAATGACACTGAAGTAGCCGGGAAACAAAACACTGCTGCGAGGTTGGAAGTTTGTTGTTGTGACACCAAGAGCCCCACGAGCAGAAAGGCAGAAAGGAGCGGAACGGTGTCGTTTGAATGCGATTTCGGCGTCAACTTCTATATTCCTGAAAAGTCATCACTTGCTAAACCGTTGTCGTTCCAGTATTTTTTCTTTTTAATTGCCTGAACGTCGTTCTCGCAATGGTGTCGCGAAAGAACACTGCGTTACTCGACGTAGATCCGACCATTATGGAAAATAACCTATTAATAACGGTAAATTCAGTTTCAGATTTTCCACGTTATCTTAGACTAATTTTCTCTAAGATGGGCCGTGCCCTTTTGCATAAGAAATATAATTCTTTGCTATTCTTGTAAATAACAATGTCCAGCCAACTTAATTAAATTATCATTATTGGAAAGCTCCAGTTATATCCTTCTGCATATTTCTTTTTTAGTTACTTGTATTTTATTAGAACTTATTGCTCCTTAAAGTTAATTCAAGACTTATGCTGAATTGGAACAAGTATTAAACATTTCTACTGCTATTACAGGACTCAAATGCAGAGCTGGATTCACTCTTTCCGAAGGATCCTGGACCCCAAAGCAAAATCGTTCATCCTATTCCTGGTAAGTTAACATTCCTTCAGAACCAACTGGCCTCTTTTTTTAGTACTAAGAACAGTTGTCATTCTTGTTCCTCTACGTAAACTTGGCAGCGACATAATTTGTTGCCAATAAGTCCGTCTGAGCTATTCTCTATATTACCACCTGACATCAGCGTACAACTCCTGCTTTATGGCTCCGACTTAATCCAAAATGCGAAGACGGCACATCCACACACGGTCACACTCACAATCACTCTGCACAACGTCCCGCACTCCCAGGTGCACTGGCCGCCCTGGGCTCTGTTCCGCGTTTATGAACGCAAAGCAGCAGCGCAAAGCCCTCGAAAGGGGCGCCGGGCGTCGCGGCGCGTGCGTCGCGCTGGGGCCTAACTGAACTGTCGGCTGTCGGGCAGGGCCTCCTGTAGGCCTGCCGCTGCCGGCGTACGGACGGTACGGACGGACGGGCGGACTGCGAGGCGCGTGATGGCGCTGCTGCGCCCTCCCGAGCGGTGCGGTGGGAGCCCGGCGCCCGGCCCGGCGAGCCAGGCAGGAGCCCGGCTAGCTCACCCCTGACCCCCCTTCCCTACAACTCCGGATCCTCGGACCTCGGGCGGACTCGCGGCGGGGAAAAGGGGGGGGGGTGAAGTACGCAAATTATTCATTGAGGATTTCCATCAAGGGCTGGGTAATATTGAAGGACAACATACGGGAGGAGGAAGAGGACAAAAAAGGTGGGGTGGGCCGTTTAGTAGCCAAGGTCCCCAACAGGAGGGATTTCTGCGCGGAAACTACAATTACTTTCTGTTTTGGTACAACTGTCATTGTATCGTGGGGGGCTTTCGCTCTTTGGCTACGTCACCCACCGCTGCACCCAGAAGCTTCTAGCACCCTCGACTGGACTCTCCCCCTCCCTTTCCTTCCGGGCTGACTTGACAGATTACAGCGCTGCCGTGCGAGGCGGATGAGGCTGTTGTCACCGATTGTGCAACGCCGGCAGGGCAGGTGGTCAGGGGGTCACCTGCGGTCAGCCCTCCGCGATGGCCTTGTCAAGGGACTCCGCGCGGGCTCTGGGCTGGGCAGTGCGAGCGAGAGGCCCCCGGCACCTGCGCGGGGATACCCCACCCCCACCCCCACCCTAGTCGGCCGTCTCCCTCGCAGCCCGCCGCGCAGCAAACCCATAAGGGTGTGAATGTCGCACGCTTGTAGGTGTGCGACATGATTCCCAGGGAATGTATGAAATTCCGACGGAATTTCACACCTTCTGTGCATTTTTAGAAGTGTGCGACATTTGCACTCTTTGTCCTCCAGGGGCTGTAAGCTTAGCATAGCACGTATCAGATCAGTATACCAGGTGGCTGATTAACCCCGCTCACTTATATAGTTATGCTGTACCGCTCGCACGAGTGCGGGCGGGGTGCCTACCCGCTCGGCCCGTAAGGCGCCGTGGACAGGGGCGATAGGCAAGCCCGCCCGCACTCGTGCGTGCTGTACAACATAACTACAGAAGTGAGCTGTGTTAGTCAGCTACCGGGTGTATAACGTGTGTCGGGGCCCCGACTCGACAGTGATGTGAGTTTGCCCACTCACTCCCACTCCACCCGTGCCCGTAAGGGGCCATGGCCCTAGAGTATGCAAACCCACAACACTGTTGTGTCGTAGCCCTCCTGACACACGGCGCTGTCGGCCACCCTCCCTGCTCGCTGCAGCCCCCGCGCGCGGTCGCGGTGGCGCCTACGGCCGCCTATGGCTCCTCAGGTTGACGCGCGCGCTCGTGTGGGGCTTCGGCTCGCGAGGCACCCTCCCCCCTTGCGCGTTGTCAACACGCTGCGTGTCCGTGAGATTTCGGCCCTTTCGGCCTCGTTGGCGCCGCGCCTGGTCGAGGCAGCCCGCGGCCCGCCGCGGGAAGGAGGCTGCGCGGCGAGGACGGAGACGGCGGAGGAGACGCCGGCCGCGTCCCTGGAACTCGTTATTGGAGGCGCGATGACGTCATGCAAGGTCAGGGCCCAAGTAGGAGGAGGAGGGGGGCTAGAGCGGGTCGGGCCTGGTCGGGCAGATGTACCTGTGGCCCGGCCGCCGCGCTGCCGCCTGTCCATCCTTCACATCGCCGCCGCCGCTCTGCCGTGGCTCGGCCGGCCGCGCGCACCGAACAAAAATAAATCCTTGGCTCGTCCAATTAACCTATTGTGGACGACGCGGTCCGCCGCGGTCCGCCACGCACCGCGTGCGCGTGGAGCTGCGCTGAGCTGCGCTGAGCTGCGCTGAGCGTCGCCACGCTGCTGACAGCCCCGGGGACAGGTGGCCCGTGACAGCGGCGACCTGTCCCCGCGTCACCGATAATCGGAGCGTGACCCGGCTGCCATATCCGCCGCGGTTTTTGTACGGGTGATGATGAGCTAGGGGGGCTTTAAAAGAAATACGAGGCCTCGAGCCAGGGTAGGTGTACTTACACCGAGCGTGCGGCGGAGGAGGCCCTCCGAGGAACTCGACTGTTGGAGAACGGAAAACCCCTAATCCTGTCCGTCGTCGACCTGCGACGTTCATCTTTTCCTCTCTTACTCCTTTTGTGCAGCACCCTCTTCCCCTCCCTTTCCCCTTATTTGTTCTCCCACTCGTCCCTCTCCTCCACACCTCCTCCAACTCTCCTCCACTTCTCCTCCACCTCTCGTTCTCTCCTCACCCTCTTCTCTCCGCCTCTCCGCCTGGCCCGGCGCCCCTGCCGGCTGCGGGATAGGCTGACCCGCGGGGCACGCATGCGCTGTGGGGTGACGGGTGGCCTACCCGCACGGGGCTCCGGCCGCCTTGTCCGCCCCAACGCGACCGCCGATTATCGGGGTTCCGGCTCACGTAGAGAGAATTTTCAGGACTGAAATAGTCAGCTGTGAAATACCTTCATGTTTCTGCTCCGACCTCAAAGGTCGACATAATTTGGCGAAATTGCGCAATATTATTTGAAGTTGGATTGACCTGGAATAGGTTTTGAGCGAAACAACCTATGCAAATAGTCAGTCATTGGGTTCAATTTGTACATATCTCAAAACCGGTGCCACTCTTATGAGTTTCTTTAATACGTTCGCCGTCTCAATCGGTCAGTTTCGGTCACAAAGCCTTCTGATACCGAGAGCCCAGTTCGCCACTGTGCTCCGCACTTGGCCATTACGGGTCCTTCCCCCGCACGCTCGCTGATGCGCGCGGGTCTTAATCTCGCGACTTTATCGATGCCTCGTCTCTCAGGCATGTCCCCTCTACTATATCGGCCAGCCCGCCGGTTGACCCACAAAGCCTTTCGCCGCGCTGCGAGGCGAGTCCCCCCGCTGAGCTGATCGATATGCGCTGATGAGCTGCGGCGGAGCAGTGGCCGGCCCCGCGGCTCCGCGGCCCGCGAGCGGCAAGGAGACATTTGCACGAGTACGCGGCCGGCTGGGCGCACGGGCGGTGACGCGCGGTACAAGGCCAAGGGCCGGGCTGTGGCAGGACTTGGCGGGGGTAATTGTGTAACGGTTCAGTGCAGCCTTGTGCATCTCTGCGGTGGCGCGCAATGGCGGGAGAGGGGGCAAGGCTTACGACGGGGATCTGAGTGCTTACGTTCCTCTGCCTGGGCCTCTAGTGCCCAAGTGTTTTCGATAGAGGGGGTATATGGTCGAAAATTTTAGCCCGACCCCATCTAAAACAGTTTTGGGCGGGCTAAAATTTCAGGCCGTGCCCGCCCTATCGAAAACAAGTACCTGGGTGCGATCCCCCAAGCAGCCACTCGAGGCGTTTTCTCCCACCTACAAGGTGTGTAAAAAGTTCAGAAATAAAAAAATCTCAATCACACAAAACACCTGTTTTGCCGGCTTTTCGATTGGGAAAGGGCCCGGCCTGCCCTGTCCGTCCGTCGGTCCGGTCGGCCTGCGAAGGCAAGCGTGTCCGACGCAAGGGAAGGGAAAAAGGGGGGGGGGGGGGTCGATGACCGACGCTCGTTACATGTGTTTCCTGCAGCACCTGCAGTGCTGCCTCGGCCCCTACAAGCACGCACAGCCCACTGTCGTATGTACAAAATGGTAAAGGACCTCAAAATAATAAGAAAATACTCTAATTGTTAAAACTAGTTGTTGGCCGTTGGTTGGCCGTCCCGCCGCGCCAGGACTTGCTCCGAGGCTCTCTATGCGGCGTTGCCGCTCGCAGTCAGACCACGTGACCCGCCCTCGGGCCCGCCCGGGTGGTGATGTAACTCAGTATGTTGCTACTCGATGGAAGTGGCAATATAAACACGATAACTTCGCCATGATAGTGACAATAAAATGTTTAACTTTTTGTGGGAAAAAATAACAACTTGCTGGGACCTGGTTGCCAGTTCTATCACGCTCACCTGAGCAAAGAATTTAATGGATTGGCTGCTCGTGGGACGATTCTGCGAAGCTGGACCACAGAACTGTCGGGAATTACGGTGCCCAGTCTCTTTATCAACAATCCTCAATGAAGCTGGCGTCCCTTTATCAACCACCATGTCATTCTACCCGCAGGGCCCATTTACAAAATTGCTGCACTGTGCAACACACTCATTTTGAGACACAAGGACCAGTCTAATCACACTGTTTCATAAGGTGACGCCATTCCAGCTCCGCGTCTGCGCTTTCCAACAAGCCCAAAGTTTGTTACGATTCGCTCGCACCGTTTAAGAAATACTGCCGCGGAAAAGCGAACGAAACGCGTTTATGGCATTGCGGACCCCTCCTCCTGGACGAGCGTCCAGCCCAGAGCAGAGCACGCCTCGGGCCGGCCGGCTCCGGAGGCTCCCCGCTACAGGCTCCGTCCGTATAGCTGCTCAGCCTTGTGCCGCTCCGGCCGCGGCCTTCGCCGGAGCCTCCTCTCCGCCCTGCCCATGACGGTCCCTGACGCTGCTCATCCTCTGCCCTGTCCGCCCGCCTGCGTGGGGTAATTTGTCACAAGCATGCGAACGCGAACGGCCGCTGGTGCCTACGGCCTGCGGCCTGATGATGGGCGCCCCGCATCGTCCCGCCACGCCACGCCACGCCACGCCACGCCACGCCACGCCACGCCACGCCACGCCACGCCCTCTCGCGCGCAATCTAACTATCCTCGGCTCCGCCATGCAGCAGTAAAGCCTCGTCGTCGGCAGCATCGCATGGAAATTTCGATTAAATCGAGCTAAAGCCAACCAGCGGCTCTATTAAAATACTCGGCCCGTGAGATCAGCCGCGCGGCCGTGCGTGTTTGTGTGTGCCGTACCGCGCAATGGTCATGACCAGAGGCTCGTCTAAACGCGGACGACGCGGAAGAGGCCGTGTGTGTTTGTTGGGTGTCCTTATACCAACCAAAGCTCGAGAAAGACACACCTTACCCCCCTCCCCCCTCAAACACACGGCGCACACTCCTGAGCCTATCTGAGTCCGAATTCCAAATTCACTTTCGTGTCATTAGTATAGAGGATATGAAATGGAGGAGCATAACCATGCTTTCACCCGCACACCCTCCCATCCACAATTTGAGCAGGAAAGCCACCAAAAGTGTCGTGCCAATTTAGAATTCGGACACCTCAATGCATGTCGATCATTAACGTTGTCGCCACTGCATATTTTATTTAATGTAATGATATTTGTTCGGTAGAAGAGCAGCTTGATAAGCTCATCTTATCAAAATGAAAACTCTTATCTCATCAACCAGATAGAACCGGCTCTGTCGCTGGAGGATTGCGACAATTGTCGCAATAATTCGCCGTCACTATCTGCCCTGGGCCGAGAGTGCCTCGTCACAGGGGGGCTTCTCTAGAGTCAAGTAGTTCGATTGGATTGGGCGCGGCTATATCAGGCCCGTGCCAATGGGCGAGATGGTCTGCCCCTGGTGGATGGAGGGGAGGCGGGCGTGTGCCGGTGCTCAACCGGTGCTTATTGCAAGGGCTCGGCTCAAACAGTGGTTTCTGGTTTCATCTCGGGTGTCATTATCTTATCAGCAACCCTTTTTGTAGGTTGCGCTTTGCGTACGACACAGACACACACACACACACACACGGCAGGTATGAATACAAGGTCTTTTTAATAATCCACCTGACGCAACTCGCGCCTTTCGAAACCATGTCAAAAGGACGACATCGACGCCCAAAGTAACGGTCGGTATCGTTTTGACGCACCCATCTCCCACCCCCACGCTCTGATGGAATGGAAGTTTATGGGCCATCGTTCATTTTGAGTAACGATCCTCGCTTCGATTGGGTCGGGGCGAGGCCAGAAACATCACACTAGTTCATGTTACCTAGAGCTTGTTCATGTGTTACCTAGAGCGGATCAGAGTCCTAGGTGGCCACAATATACACATGCTTTGCTGGAAAACGCCCACCTTTGCAATTGCTCTGGGACTCCAAGTAGTGTTAACGCTCTTCGTTATCTCGTTGATCGAGGATACTTGTTCTCACTCATTTCGAGCAGAGAATCTCCTAGCTAGCTCACGACGCGGTACGGCTGCGCGGCTCTTTGCAAGTGCGAGTGAGACGGACGATACATGGGTGCGAATGAATGAGCGCCTCCATCACCCGTCCTTGTCGCACCCCCGCCGCCTCCCCCGCGAGCAGCCGCCGCCGTCCCGCAGGAATCCCGCGGTTGTGCTGCCATTACCGTATGATTGTGTAATGCCGGACCCGCCGGCCGGAGGACCGGCGGAGCGGCCGGAGGCAGAGGCGGCCGGATCAGCCTTTGACATTTTACTCTTTTCCTCCCAAGGTGAGGCCAAGGGCGCGGCCAGGCTCTATGCCCGGCACCAGAGGCACTCAAGGCGGCTGCCCGCTCACCACCACATAGGCCGGCCAGGCCACACACCACCTGCCGCCCGGACCCTCGAGCTGCTCAACAACCCCTCCACAGTTGAGACACGTGGATAGATCCGGTCCTCGTCGACCTGATTTTGATCTAATCTCGCATCCTTTTCGCCCTTGCGAATCGCATCATCGCACCTTTATAGAGTATGACTCGTCGCTCGCCAGTGCGGTGTTTCTGTGAATCTGCTCCCCATCTCTGTCCTGTAGGCGGGGCGGCCGGGCGGCACTGGGAGGTTTGTTGTGCGGTCGCAGTGCACACTGCAGACTGCCTCTGGTATCTCGGCGATAAGCCTCCCGCCTCCCCCTGGTCCCCACATTTTTCCGAGGCACACCGAGTGTGACCTTCCGGTCTTACAAAAGTCGAAACTGTGTGGGGCTTGTCGAATTTGGACTGATTTTCGCTGTTGATTGAAACGCGGCGGTGGCTCGCTCTCTATCCTATGGCCTGTGTCCGTGGGCCCCGCCCTCTCTCTCGCGCGGGCCTTGGCGACCACGCTGAGCGCGGGGAGGAGGAGGGACCTGGGACCTGGGACCTGGGACCTGGCACCGCGCGGCGGGCTCCGGGCTCCGGGCACGGAGAGTTTCTGGGAATCCGTGCGACGGGCGTCCCATGAAATTGTCGTCCTCGGGTGCCATGGGCCGGGCGGGGCGTGGGGCGTAACGGTCCAGCCGGAGCTGCTGCGCGCGGCCCCGCCCCGGCGGCCCGGCCGGTTTGGCGGGTGAGCGGGAGGAGGGCCCACCCGGAGTGGGCCCCGCAGGACCCGGGGATGCTGCTCCTGGCTCTGTTGGACGAGTAGTCGCGGATCGCACAGAGATGCGAGGTTCATTGGCGCCCGCACTCAGCACGTGCTGTCGACGGTGGATGCTGCTCGGCAGGGCTGGACCACATGGCCAGCGCCAGCATGGCGCCAGCCAGCGCTCCACGCAACACTGTGGGCCTACCGAAAGCGCCTAGTCACGGCTTTACACTCGTGACTGTTATTTGCCTTTAATTTGCCTCGGTTGCGGCGTAAGTTGGGCTGCCCATCTCCCTGGCGGCAGGAGTACGTTGGGCGGCCGACCTCGCCGGCGGCAGGAGTACGTTGGGCTGCCGACCTCCTCGGCGGCCCATCCTCGTCCCGAGCGTGTTGTGCTGTCGACCTCCCAGGCGAGCCCCCTCTGCTCTGACTTCATCCTTCATCCTTGTCTCACTCGTGTCCGCAGGCCTCTGCATCAAGCTGCGCCGCTCCACGGAGGACCATGGCAAGGTGTTCATCAACCTCTGCCACACCAAGGACATCCCCGCCCCGGAGGAGATCTCGGAGCGGCGCCTCATGGAGATGTGGAACGCCAACGGGGAGACGTGCGACTACCGGGTGCCGCTGAGCATCGGCGAGGGGCGCCAGGAGCCCGACAAGTGTGAGTAGGAAAACTATGTACAGGCTGTCCCGTCTGCTGTCTGTGGTTCGAGGTGTTAACCGACCGCCCCTTCCTGTTGCAGCGGGCCAGCCATCGGACGTGTACGACGTGGCCATCAACACGGACTTCTTCGGCAAGGTGGAGAGCAGCAACATCTTCCGCATGTTCATCATCGACGTGATAATGCAGGGCATCGAGGACAAGTTCCACATCGAGATGGAGAAAGACGGTGAGAGCACCGCGACCGCGACATCCTCGTGACGTCTGCCGCCTCCCCTGACTGACATACTGACTGATGTGCCGTGTGTTTCCAGATTACGTCATCATGAAGAACCGCAAAGCCATGGGGTCCATTCCGGGCCACCGGGTGCGCGTCAAGGAGCGGCGCGAGGACTCGAGCCCCGCTGCGCCCCTCATCCAGGAGCTGGGGACGACGCGCTTTGCCGAGACGAGTGCGACCAAACCGGCAGCCGCGGCCAAGAGCCCGGCCAAACCCGTGGCCGAGAGCGCGACCAAACCCGGGAGCGCGCCGGCGCCCCCGAGCGACGCGGTGAAGCCCGAGTTCCGGCTGCTGCGCGTACCGGCCCAAGGGCCAGCCAGGTCATTTGTCATGCAATGCCACCTACCAAGTGTGGTCAGTATTCTTGTGCGGCGTCGCACCCTGTTGTACACAGCTAGACCGAACTACCACAAGTGCTTACAATGAGACCCTCTCCATTCTGATTTACAGATGTCCGTGAAAGAGGTGAACCTTGATGTCGGCGAGGACCGAGTATCCATAAGTGGAGGACGATCTTCCAAGTACTTCTTGGATGTATTTATGCCAGACACCATTATCCAAAACTTCACCACTGCTAAATTTGACAGCATGTCTAAGGTAAACGCTTCAGCTAAAAGCTATTTTGTGCCTGTTTATTGGCTTCTAGAGTTGGAGTGTAATACTGTTTTGTGTTTTCACAGATACTTACTGTTAACATGCCGATTTCTCGAGGAATATGATATTACTATAGTGTTTCAAGTTTGTTACCATTCATTCCAATTTGAGAATCTACTGTCTGTGATTGTCATATTCAAGATGTGCCTTACTTATGTATTAATTTCATAATTTATTGACACACTTTGTCATGCATAATGTCATTAAGATCTTTTTCAGTACATTGGTTTCATTCATTTGTAACCCTCAATTATTTGACTTAGGGAATTTCAATGTTGCTTCAACACTGAACGATATGATGAACATATAATTCTACATATATAACAGTATAAAAAAGATCATTTTCACACAAATGTAAAAAAGGCATACAAACACACAACCAAACCAGTCATTTTACTCGATAACAAAGTATTTGATACGTGATTTGTACCGCCCTTTCCTTTTGTAAACACTTCATTTAAAATTTAATAGAAGTACGCATTCGACTTTTTGGCTTATCACACATTATATCCTAGGTATAAATTAATTGTCTGAATTAAAATAAAAGTATTCTCATTCTCGATAACAACCACCAAGAGAACCTCTTACATTTTGAACATTTAATCAGACTCTCCTCTCCTTTATATGTATTTTTTCCCCTCCATAAACAAATAGAAGAAAACATCTGCCCCGGGTCTGCAACTGTTTTAATTCTGTCGTTTCATCCTCTTTCCGCCAGAAACAAAAGTCAAGGCATTTCCTTTTCTCTCGGCACGCTTCTTCACGTTGTTTTAACGACAGTCGACAGTCCTGCACTCTCACTCATCGCCTTTCACCCTCCGCTCGGCAGGGTGCCGTGGCTGTCATTCCCCGCCCGGGGCTACTCCGCCGCCACTTCCGTCTCCTCGTGGTCGTCGAAGTCGGCCTCTTCGTCGGCCGAGGCCTCTTGGTACTGCTGGTACTCGGAGATGAGGTCGGCCAAGTTGGACTCGGCTTCGGTGAACTCGAGCTTGTCCATGCCCTCGCCTGTGTACCAGTGTAAGAAAGCGCGCCTCCTGAACATGGCGCTGAACTGCTCCGAAAT